GTTTATTGTCATAGTAAATAGTTTAAACATGTGTAATGTGTAACGAGTTAATGATTTTTCATGTAGACTTGAAATTATCTAACCTATTCTCTTATTTAGCGGGTGACACACTGGTAATATCGGGTAACCCGTCTAATAAACGATTCGTGTATGAGTGTGATAGTTAGATTCGTTTATATAAACGAATAGGGTATGGATGAATGAATTTTTGACACAAAACCGTTTCCCTTGATACAATTGTCAGGCCTAGTTGTGTCTTCGTCTGTAGTGGAAGGCTCCGTGCCGACCCTCATTATTATTATTGTTTGAATGGTCTTTAATAAAAATTGGGTGAAATTTGGAGTCACTATTATTTTAATAAAATAAAAATAATACTATTTAGACTTAAACTTACAATTAATTCAATAATTGTGATATATTATGTTAATAAATAATGTTTAAATAATATTTTTTATAAAATAAATAAAATAGACCCCCAACTAAACATATTTGTGATCCAATGGAAAGTCGACTAACGGGAAAAAAGATCTCTTTTTTTTATCCAATTTTTCATGTCGATATTTTTTTTTGTGCACTGTGGCTAACTTACTTGAATAATTACTAAAATCACATCAATTTGACCCCAATTTACTATAATGTCCCCCCCTTTTTGCTCATTATTAATTTATGTCACACTCCGCACCATACCAAATAAATTTTGTTTAAAAAGGTTAAAATTTTTCGGCTCAAGTTAGCCCAACCCGGCCCAACAACACGCACGTGTGATAATGAAGGTAGTGTAGGTATTTGCTCCACTCACAAAAAATGTGGTACCCCTTGAGGTCTAACTCATGAAGCCAACTAAGAGTATATTAACTCACCGTAATGGTCTTCTTCTAATGTAGGACAGGTCTTATTTTATTTTACCAATCTTAATTTATTTCATCAATTCAAATAGGTCACTTTGATACATAATTTTTCATTCATATCTTCATAGTTTTAGACAAATAAATATATCACATCAATCTCTTTGTAGAGGAGAACATGTTTAAACTTAATCCTATCAATTTTGAGATGTGGATCCCACTTTTATTTAAGCCTCAGATTGCTTAAATAATCTTGTTTAAAACTATTATTTCTAACACACATGAAAGAAGCCATATAAGTGTGCAATTGTAAGACAATAATACACATAAAACTAACCATGAATAATGTTATATATGGGCATATATGTATAATATATATATATATATATATACTAGTTATTGTCTGTGCCTGAAGGCACAGTATAATAAAAAATGACAAACAATAAACATATTTGTATTCATATCTAAAATCAAATCACAAACATAGAGAAGATATAAAAGAATTGAAGCATCGATGTTGTAGTGGGGGTGAGAGGTGGTGGGCGACAATGGTGGTGGTAGGAGATGGTGATGGTGATAGTTGTGGTGGATGATAATGACCGTGGTGGTGGCGAGGACTACAGCGGCGGCGACGGTGATGGTGGCGGCATGATGGCAGTGGCGGTGACGGCGATGGCGATGGCAGAGGTGGTGGTGGTGGCGACGGCGGATATGGTGACAACGACGGCGATGACGGTGGCTGCGATTACGGTGGTGGGGGTGGGGGTGGCGATGGTGGGGGTGACGGTGGGGATGGTGGTGCAGGGGCAACGACGGCGACGGTGGTGGGGGCGATAGCGATGGTGGCAGCGACAGCGGCAGTGGTAGTGGTGGTAGAGATAGTGGTAATGCGGTTTCAAACATTATTATTTTTTTTAAAGTACATATGAGAAATAATTTTTAGAAGTACTTTTAAAAACTCACTCCAAGCACACCTTTAGGGGTCTATTTTTCTTATTAATTTTAGGATGTTAATATTAGCCGTTAAATTAACTTTATAAAGTAAAATTTAAAACGACCTCAACCGCGAATAGTAAAAGTCATTTTGTTTATATTTTGAGATTTGAATTGTAAGTTACTGTATATATATATATATATATATATATATATATATATATATATATATATATATATATATATATATATAAAGAGAGAGAGAGAGAGAGAGAGAGAGAGAGAAAGAGGACTAAAAATATATATACTAATAATAAGTGGTGCACAAATGCATTTTACAACCTAAAGAACCATCAATTTAGAATAGTTTTTATTTTATTTGCTTTAATTAGAAAATTAGAAATCAATCTAACTTTCGTTATTTTTTCAAAAAATTTTGGCATAATTTTTTCTAAAAATAAGAGCACAATTAAATCTCAACATGTCTACATAACTTATATATTTCATAATCATACCCAAATAAACATAATAATATGTCTATTTAGCAGAGTTTCTTATAAAAATAAAAGCCAGAGAAATCTGAACCTATGTGCTTGAAGGCATTGCATAAAAAAAAGATATGATTTCTCCATTTTAAAAAACAAAATTGACAAAATTTCCTCTAAAATAAAACCCACAAAAGTGTTAACCTTTCTCACACATCCAATTCAGCTTAATGACCCACTCACACACTAAAATCAAGTTCTCTAAAATCAGAAAGAAATAAAAAGTTAATTATTTGTGTTAAAATTTATCTTATTTATCTATATATCTTTTGATATATAAATATATTATATATAAATACAATGATAAAATATGTATTTATACTTTTATTTAAAAAAATTAAAAATTAAAAATTTTAAAATTAAAAATTAAAAATAAATTTTTTTTTCCATCTTACCAAACACAATAAAAATAATAATTATTTTTTTTTGCATCCATCCTACCAAACACAAAATAAAGAAAGTGTATCATTCATACTTTTATTCTTTAAAGAATAAAAAGTGCATCACTTCTATTTTTTATCCTTCCTATTTTTCCATTCATGAGTATCAACCTTACAATTCATGAGTATCAACCTATTGTAAGAATATTGGTTAAGAACTTCTTTTCAACCAAGCTCATTCTCAACTTTATCTGTTGATGCATAAACAACCGTAATTTCTCCCAGCCATCTTGAACACGATTTAACTGAAAATTTTTGAAAAACAAAGGAAATTTTATTAAATCCTATACTTAGTTATCTGTGAAAGTGTGTCTATGTGTGTTCATGTGTTGGAAAGAGAGAATTTAATAGCATGCAATTCATGTGAAAAAAAAAAAATTGCAATTATCAATACCATTTGGTGTGAAAAGCTTCCCAAGGCCATCTGTGAAATCTAAAACATGTATGCATTATTAAATCAGTTAACCACTAAACCTATTAGCATCAAGTCGAAAAGCATGTTTTGATTCTCCCCTAATGATGAACCAAAGCTGTTCGAACAGACCAATAGATGTTTGGTGTGAGTAAATGTTTCTTGAAAATAGACATACGAGAAAAAGTGATGGGTCCACAGGTGGCCAGCGCCTGTGGCTTTCAAGTGGGATTTCAGGGGTTCAAAGTACCGTGGTATAAAAAAGTGTTGGATAAGGTAAAATTTTAATTGGTTAGACGAACTGTATTCAAGTATATGGTGTAGGTCTTGAGATTCCGATCAAACGTAAATCTTAATTTAAATAGTATATGAATTGAGAGATCGATTCATATACCCGAATTTTATCTTTAATTCTATTCAGAATCACGAGTCTGAACGATATAAACACGTCTTTGGTCACCGAAGATAAAATATAATGTTTCCCATATCCAAAGAAAAAGTGATGTTCCCAACGAGAAGGGCAGGTGTAAATGAGCACAAAAGATTAAAAAAAAAGGGGTAGATGTTGTTCAAATTCGAAGTCATAGCTTGAACGGTAGAGATACCAAAGTTACATTCAATCTTTTATAATGTAGGATGATTTTCCTATTACCTAAACCTACAACCTCATTTTTTTTTATTAGTCTTACATTTTTTTAATCGATGCGTAAATCCTTCATAGTACCTTGAAATAAAAACTAATATGTTAAATCTAATTTTTTTAAATTCAAATAATTTTTTCAAAGCAAGATTATATTGGACTCACTAAAATTAAATAAACTCCAAAATTAAGCTAATATAAAACGAACAGTTTGGGTTGGAATCATTAATGTTATTGGGACATAATTGAAGGATATAATTTGCGGACATAATGAATTGTCACAAATAAAATGATAGTGAAATATATTTAATGATGAATTCTATTATAGTATTAATGAATTCATTATTATATCATTGATGACAACTTATTATATCCTCAAATTATGTCTATAAATTATGTTCCTCTCGGGCTAGAATACCATTTCATTCAAAGAAACAATCGTTTTCATAGTACAATGATTGTGTGACACCGACAGCCCTCCTCCGTGTCAAAAAGAAGAAGAAAAAAAAAAAAGACGGCGGCACTGATCTCACTAACCCACTACTTTGCAGGGATTTATTTATTATAAAATGTTTTATGTACATATTTTTAATAGGAGTTTAAATTCTATTCGAACTCTCAGTAATCCCAAGGGTTACGGATACCTAATAGCTTGTTCACATGTCAGCAACGTAACTATAAAAATAAAAATTTGTCGCCAAACTTCTATACCCACCAACTCTAGTTAGTGCAACGTGGTTAGGGTTAAAACAAAAAAAAAAAAAAAAAAAAGGAACGATTGTTTGGAGTCTTTAGACCATTAAACTTCATCTTCTTCGGAGCGACAATATTCTACTGTCCAATTGTAATTTCATTTGTCAGTTTCTTTTATTCGGTAAATCTGGTGAGTGCAAATATTATGTAACATAAATGGCCATGGAAGCCTTGAATTTATTGCTAGCAATAACCTTCCCCTTGTTTGAATGTTTAACTGCAAATAAGAATCCATCTAGTGATTTGTTTCGCAAATTTATAATTGTGTTTTGTCACCTATTTGAAAGAGAATGGTTGTGAAGGTTGTAAGTTTTAAAAGCATTCGATGTGTTGAGATATTTGTTTTGTAGTTTTGGTCCTTGGCTTTGGTTGAACACTGAATTTTGAGTCTAGGTAAGACCCCAAAATTATTTTTTCTGATGAAGTTGGAGGATGCCGGAGAAGATGAAGTTCGATGGTTCCAAAGAAGACAAAGATTTGGGGTTGAAAACGGTTGATCCTTTCGTTGCTCTTTATTTGTGCGAGTCAACCAAACCACGTTTGAGTTAATTATAGTTAGTGCAAAGTGCGATCCAATTAATTGCTTGCAAACCAATTTAAGTTGAAGTGTTTTTGCTTTTGTCTAATTATCTTGCTGATGTGTCAAGAAGTTAGGTATCTATAAACCTTTGGATTCACAGGAAGTATGGATAGAATTTAAACTCTTTTAATATATTTTTATGTAATATAAGAGGTAGTTATTAGGTAGATATTTTAGTAAATGATTTAGTGATAGAATATTTTATGGGTAATTTCTTAAATGGTTACTAAAATAGTGGAAGGCATGGGTTATGTAAGTTATTAAATAGTTTTATTATATTGTATTTAAAAGTCTTTTTATCAATGAAATGAATATGTTGAATATTTTGATAAACTTTCTTATGAAGTTGGTTTTTCTCGAATTGAACCATCGGAGGTTCTCCCCCCTCGAAGTGGGTTCTTTATATCATATTCTATTTTACTTTTATTTTCTAGATCTTCAAAAAGCATGCATGTAACAATTAATATCAAAGTCGACGATCTTATTAATAGCTACCTCACCAAAAATTTTGAAGTTAATGCGTGATGAATTTCAGGAAGAGTGAAAGAGATTACTTAAGCAAAATCAACGCATGCAAGAGAACTTCAACAAAGTTCTAAAAATCCTCCATGAAGGTGTGTCCACTCAAATGAAGGAGCAGATGACGAACCAAATTGGGATTAACAAGCATGTGACAGTTGAACACAGCAAAATAGGAAGACAAGATGTACATTCTAGTGGAATTCAGGCCTACTCAAGCACAGGAGCAAAAAGGCAGCCATTTGGGATGCGTTTATCTTCATTCTTGCCTACAGTTAGCACCAAATAATCCATTGGTCAAGTGATTGAAATTGCTGATCACATAGATTTTCTTCAAGAGGAAAATTTAATTGCCAATCAACACCACCACTCATTTAGTCATGAATAAAAATTCATTTTCAATGAGAAGGAATCAAATGTTGCATCAAGTAAGGATATGATTTTATTAGTGTCAGTTAGAGAATCAAGGTTGAAGAATCAAAATGGCACCCGTTGCTGGAAAGATTTTAATGGAAGTTGCTCCTAAGGAGTCATATACTGGAATCGAAGTAGTTCTCATCTAATTGTTGAACCCAAAAATGTGGGCTTTGTTTCCTTGAATTTGCTTGTCAAGAAGCACATACCTACTGTCTTAGTAGTGAAAATATGGATCAGATTGGTCGTTACAAGGACAAGGAAGTAGATTGGTCATCTCCGTTTGTACACGATAAATCAAACTTTGAGAACAAAATTTATTTTAAAGGAGATGGAATGTTAGGTACATATTTTTAATATATTTTTATGTAATATGAGAGGTAACTTCTTAGATGATTACTTAGATAGTGGGAGTCACGAGTTAGGTTAATTATTAAAGTAATTTTATTATATTGTATTTAAAAGTTTTCCTATCAATGAAATGAATATGTTGAACATTTTGATAAACTTTCTTGTGAAATTGTGGAGAAAAATTTTTCTCAAATTAAACAATCGGAGGTTCTCCCCTCTCGAAGTGGATTCTTTATCTCATATTTTATTTTACTTTTATTTTTTATATCTTTGACAAACGTACACGTACCAAAAAATTTTGTTTGTCAAATATTCTTACTAAAATTTTCTTCTCAAATAATGTGACATGATCTCCATTATTATAAAATGAGTCCCGTTAATATTGAACGAAAATAATTGTGCCACGTCATTTAGAATAAAAAATTTAATAAGCACAGCGTCGCTCCTATTTATTTAGTTGTTTCATAGAGAGATGCGTTGATTCCTCGAGAAGATTTCAGCTTCTTCTGCTCAGTATCACTCCGTTAGAGATAATTCCTTTGAACCTCTTTTAGGTTCTCTCTCTTCCCTGCAACAATAACTGTGTCAACTCTCTCTCTCTGCTGCATGAATGCCTGTAGATTATTATGATTTATTGTTCCCATATTCGATTTCTCTTATGATTTTACCTCATTACTTTCTCTGTTTCTGATCAGTAAGGTCTGAGGGACTCAAATCATGTAAGTTAATAGTTTTACTTTGATTTTAGGCAGACCTGATGAAGAAAAAAAATGAAGGGTTTTTATCGACTCTCAATGAATAAAATCGGTGGCAATGAAACGATTTTTGTTGGTCATTACCATTTCTTCAAAAGCTAAGACAAACCATTAGAATGATCAAAATGTGCCGAGTGATTTGTGTTTGGTGGTTTTTTTTTTTCTTATTCTTGTTCATCTTGAAGATAAAATAGCAACTCTATAGAGCTAAGCTATTAGAGATTTATTCTCATAAATACTTTAATCTTTAACCCAATCAGAGATAAGATTAGTTGAGGTGTACATAAATGGATTCAGACACCCAAAACTTACTCCACATTGTCCCTTTTTTTTTTATTTAAAATGTTTCCTCTCAAAAGTAAACATGATGATCTGTCTCAAATTATTGAACGTCAATATGAATATGATACCCTTAGGAAAGTAAAATAAACAAGAGAACTAGAGGTGTGGTTAACGTTTGTGTGGGAACGAAATGATATTTTCAAACTTGGTAACTTACCGCGGTATCTCTAATATTTGGGTTCTTGTTTTTCCTGTCAACTTTTTGTGGTGTTGCATTAAGAATTTGAAATTGTTTTGCAGGAATGTTTAAAGAAATTGGATTTGTCTTGTTGATCGAGTTTGCAGCATGAGCATATCAAGCTGTTCGTCCCCCACGTCCCAGGATATGCGGTTCCCCTGGCAGTCCACCCATTACAGCACCCAGAATAAAGCTTAGGGATGGACGACATTTGGCCTATAAGGAGCATGGTGTCCCCAAAGAAACGGCCAAATACAAGATTATTTCTGTCCATGGCTTTGCCTCTACCAGACATACTCTGGCAGTTGTAGCATCGGTAATTTTATAATTATTATTATGTAGCCATTCAATTGAAAATTTTTCTCTTCATGTTATTTCAATTGAATTTGATTTTTTTTGCAGCGGATGGCTGAAGAACTAGGGGTGTACTTCGTGTCTTTTGATAAACCAGGTTATGGAGAGAGTGACCCACATCCAAAACGAACCTTAAAAAGTATAGCTTTGGATGAAGAAGAGCTAGCTGATCAGCTACAACTTGGATCTAAATTTTATGTAATTGGGGTTTCTATGGGAGGACAGGTGGTCTGGTGATGCCTTTAAGTACATACCTCACAGGTAAGGAATAGCTAATAGTAGTTTATATTTGACATATTGTAAATTTATCTCTTTAGATAATTTTTTCTTCAGGATTGAGGAGTAATCCAAATCCAGGAATTATACGGATTAACACTCTGAATAACATCCCCAAAAATACAAAAAAAACAAGTTGTTTCTGTAACGAAACATACTGTTTAGTGAGAAACGGCTTGTTTCTGAATCTCTGGAATGCAAATTTTTTTTGATAAATTACAAAATATCCCTTTAAACTTGGATCTTGTTTTAAACAGGTTCTTTTAGTTTACGATTGAACATGCACAAATACACACATAATCCACACATCATAAGCAACTAACCAGGAGAGAGACCCACCAACCAATTTTGCTTCGAAAAGAAATTGGGAATAGGTCACTGATACTCCGATCTTTGTTGCTGAGGAGCCGATGTGAGACAACACTCTTGTTTTTTTTGACAAAGACAATAATTTGCCCCTTCCAATTTTAAAATTAGCAAGTTGACGGATGAATTAGAGACAAAAAACTATAAAATTACTTATGTACCCTTAACTGATCTCCATTTTCTTTATTTTCTCTTTGTCCAATTAAGCCAAAAGCTTCAACACCACCGCACCAGTCACGAACCATCGCAGCCACCACCCAACTACCGCAGCTACCACCCAACCAGCCACAAACCACCGCAGTCACCACCCAGCCACAAACAACAACAGCCACCACCCAACCACCTAGCCACAAACAACTGCATCTACAAACCACCGAAGAAATCGATCGAAAATACACCACCACAACCAAATCGACCGATCATCTTCACGAATTCTCTCTCTCTCTCTCTCTCTCTCTCTCTCTCTCTATCTTGATGGGTGATGCCCAATAAAGGGTAGATTTCTTTTTAGGTTGGAACTGTTTGGGGGCTGCTGCTAGGGGTATGTTTCAGTTTCACTGGTAGGGAGTTGAGGGAATGGTGGGGTTGCACCGGAGGACGAGAGGGATTTCAATTGTTTGCGAGGGGGTGGGCTTCGGTGTCGATTTCAGTGGAGGGGGTGGGTTTTCATCGGAGAAATCATCGAAGGGAGTTGGGTTTTTCAGCGGACAAATCGTCGGCTTTTTTTTGTGTGGACAGTTGATTTTTTTTTTTTTTGATTTTTTTTTTACAATAAATATTAAGACAATGGTAGGTTTTGGCTTTTGATTTATTTAAGTCATTTTGAATGGTGGTCAACTAATGGTAAGAGTCTGATTAAAAAAGAAATTAACGGTAAGAGTTTAATTAAAAATTATTCAAACCTTAAGGGACAAATTGTTTACTAGAGGACTTGATTGAAACAAGACTTAAAGTTTAAAGGGAGATTTTGTAATTAACCCTATTTTTAGAAACTTATGATATGATTGTCCTTTTAAGGGATTTCCTCCTAATATTTTAGAATTCTTTATTGTTTCTTTCTACTATCAAGCTAAAGTAAAATACTTGGATTGCTGACAGGTTGGCGGGAGCAACGTTTTGCTCCTGTAATCAACTACTGGTGGCCTGGTTTCCCTGCAATTTATCCGCAGAAGCCTACTACCAGCAATTTCCACAGGACCAGTGGGCTTTACGGGGTCGCTCACTTCATCCCTTGGCTCACCTACTGGTGGAACACTCAGAAATGGTTTCCTCCCTCTAGCGTTATTGCTCAAAGGCTAAGTTTTCTCGCCAAGATTTGCAACTTATATCCAAGTTTAGAGAATCACAAAATTCCAGGGTAAACGTTTTTTCTTTTCTGTTTTTTGTCATGAAAAATGAGGATGAATTAACAATAAGTCGTACGCGGTACTCTGTGTGTGTGTGTCGGCTTGTGCTTGATCAAGAATTTCTGCAAAAGAAAAGAATTTCATCAATAATTTGGCATAAAAAAATGTTCAACATCGCTGCAAGCTGAGTTCTAGATCCCATTAACAGAAATTATGAGATGTAATAGCTTGTCCAATCAATAACGTGGCTAAGAAAATGTTTGTATAATAGTTCTTTAGAATATGTCAGTTAAAAAATGTCCCAAAATTTGTGAATGGCATATGATTCCGAATCTCCCACTTATTATTTTGACAACCAGGAAAACGTCACGCAACAAGGAGAATTTGAGTCCTTCCATCGCGAGATGATGATTGTATTCGGGAATTGGGAATTCGATCATATGAATCTGAAGAATCCTTTCCTCGATGGTGAAGGCTCTGTCCATTTATGGAACGGCGATGAAGATGGCTTTGTGCCTGTTACACTGCAGCGCTACATTGCTGAAAGGCTTCCTTGGATACACTACCATGAAGTACCAGGTGCTGGACATCTATTTCCATTTGCTGATGGTATGAGCGACGCTATCTTGAAGGCCCTTCTATTAGGGGAGAAGAGCCTATGGCAGAGATAACTTGCTATCTCTCTCTCTCTCTCTTTTCTGCAACTACTAAAAATAAAAAGTTGTTTGACAATT